ACAGTCTTAGGCATTCAGTGAATGATGAGTGAATATTAACCATAGAGTAGTATATATTGATACTTTTTATGTAAAACTGATTATGTGTCAATGTCTTAAATTCTTTTTCTACTCTCATTATTTCCCAGACGTGTCCTCAATGCACGCACTGCTGATGACTTCTATGGCAAAATGGGATCCTTCTCCAATGAGCTCTTGAATGGCCACCTCATCGATTCGAATGGCCTCATAGAGAAAGTGGTGCAGCTAGGACCCATAGCCGACATCAAGCAGCTGAGGGAGAAGCATCTGTACAACATTACTCCGCTGGCCAACAAGCAAGGATTGCAGTAGGTTCATAATGAAATATAGCTGGAAATTAGCTCACGTTGCATTTCTTGCAGGCTCTACTACGATGAGGAGGATGCGCATTCCGACGACGAGTCGCGCATGGCAGTGGCCACTGTGTGGGGCCTGAACTGGGGCAGACGCGGCTCCGTGGGCACGGGCGCAACGGGGGCAGGCAAGCCGCAAGCGGAACAGAAGGACCGGCTGGCTCTGGACATATCGTTGCTGAAGAAGCAGTACGATCGTCTGCGCGAGCGACAGAAGCAGGCCCACGTCATACTGACCTCCGCCTGCTCCACAGCAACTGCACCGCGACAAGCGAGCTCCAACCAGTTGCCAGTTAATCAGCTGCTCCTCGGCCGCCCGGCCATAATCACCAACAAGGGGAAGCGTGTGGGAGCCCCGTTGGGCGCAATTCCACCCGCACGCAAGCCCTCGCTTCCAGCCGTGCTGCACAGCAAGCCCCCAGAGCGACAGCTGCGGCGCGGGGAGACGCTGCTCTGGCGGGACACGGATGCCACGCGGAATCGACGTGATAGCCTGACGTGGAAGGAGATCAAAGCCGATCGCGCTGCCATGTTTCGAGAAGGCAGCGATGCCACCGCGGTCAAGTCACAGAAGCTGCGTTCGCGATTGGGCAAAAGTGATAGCTCCTCGTACAGTGAGGATAGCGATGGGGAGCAGGAGGCGGAGGACAAAGATGGCTCCAGCACCGACACCAGTCTGTGCGATGACGACGATCCCAAGTCGAGCGAGCAGAGTCCCAAGCGCAAAGCAAAGCTGGCGCGCAAGCTGAAAGAGAAGCCTAAGCTGGCTGTATCACGAGAGCCCAGCCTGGAGCGCAGGAGACCCAAGTCGTGGGCGCCCAGTAGCCATGAAATACCTTTTATGCTCATGGGAACCGAGAGCGGCGATGAGAAGGAGCCGGCACCAAAAGAGGAGGAGGACAGCGCCACCGAATGCGATCGCTTTGACTACTCAAGGAACTTGGATTGGTCAAAGGAAGCAGGGGATCTGGCGTCAAGTAAAATAGAAACGCTGACAGGCGCAACTCTACCAGCGACCAGCACTACACAGCTCTCACCCCTCCGAGATGTTGTCAGCTATCTAGGCACAGCCAGCATCAGTGAACTGCCTTCGTCTAGGCTAGAATATGCAATGTCCGATACCGAATCGGTTAATCCTCCTGATATAGTTGATGCTGTAGCCAGCTCAGCCGTGGAAAAGGAATACTCCTCAAGGCGGTACGATGTTAGTGACGATGGCGTAACCAATCAGTATTTTGAGCGGGTCAATAGCGTGGAGCGTCCTAAGCTACTAGAACTCTCGTTCTCCCTAAACGAGGAGGATGCGGAAATAACCTCGCCCAAGGAAGAGCAACGTGCCCTGGTCGAAGGCCACAGTGCTGGGTATATAGCAAAGAGTATGCCTTTCGATCTACCAGCTATAGAACTGAAAGCGGGCATACCTCCAATACGCGATGACAACATTCCAGGCGAAAACAAGGACGACTACAAAGAAGTGCTGAGCATGACGATAGAACCGAAGAAGGACGCACTGCCCACGATCCTCAGTAGCGCCTGCCGTAAGCGTCGAGATCCAAGGCGCAAGACTCTGACAAGATCATCCACGATTGAGCTGGAAGAACGATTCCAGGCGCTAGAGCGACGGTTCAGTCAGGAGAAACCGAATCGACATTCGGCAAGTGATAAAATAGAGGGCATCAAGTACATACCTAGCACTGCGGCTCTGGAGGAGCGTTACAATACGCTCGAGAAACAGCTCAGTGCGGAGAAGCAAGGTGTGCATCCGGTAGAGCCCACGGCTGAATGTTTTGAGAAGCCGGAACGTATTCCCTCTACAGCTGACCTGGAAATGCGTTTCAATGCCTTGGCCAAGCAAATGAGCTCCACTGAATCAAACTCAAAAGCTCCCATTGAACTTAGGGGTCAAGATCAGCCAGCGGGCAGTAGCTCAAAGGAGGGAAACGAAAGCGAAAAAACCAGCAAACTGCATAAACTAAATGACTCTCAGACAGATACAACAAAACCTGCCAACGAAAGCGATGCAACTGACAAGAAAGAGAGCGAAAGTAAGCAGAAGTCGGAGACACCGCGCCTTAAAAAACTGCCTTCAACAGCCGAACTAGAAGATCGCTTTAATGCCTTAGAGCGAAGGATAAGCGTGCAAAAAGCCAGTCCTACCAAGGCAAAGAAGGAACCACCTGACGAAATCATAGAAAGTAAAAAAGCTTCACCCAAGAAAGTTGCAGAGGCACCAGCAAAGGCAGAAAGTAAAGCACAGAGCCAAGAATTAGCTGAAGAAGTTAATCAAACAAAGGAAAAGACAAGCGATGTAGAGATTCCCAAACATGCTGAGAGCCCAAAGCCTGAAGCTTCGGATAAGGAAGTTGAAGTCAAAGTTTCACCTCCGAAAAATGAGAAAAACCAAAGCGAAAAGAAAGAACTTGTAAAGAGCAAAGAATCATCGAATGCAGAGGACAAGCAAGTTGAGGTGCTCAAGCGAAAGTCCCCACCTTCCACAGAGGAACTAGAGAAACGCTTCAATGCCTTAGAGAAGCAGCGGAGCACCTCCAAAGGAGATACAAATGGAGCAGTTGACAATGAGAGGTCTTCTAATAAAATTGAGCCAGTGCCACAGGAAGAAAAGCAAACAAAGCAATCAGAGCATGCTAAAGAACCTAAAACCCAAAAAGAGGAGGAGGCTCAAAGCTCAATTAAGTCCTTTGATGAAAAAGTTAAGGCAATAAGTGCATCGTTGACAAACGATGAAAGCCCAAGCGAGGTATCGGAGGCCACTTTGGAGAAGCGGAAAGCTTTTGAGACCACATGCAAGACAGCCAACAAAGTGTTAGAAGCCGAGCAAAAGCCCTTAGCAACTGAAACTAATGCAGGTCCTCAGAAACCCGTCAAGCCAGATCAAAAGTCAGACCCGGCAGCTGAACAGTCAGAGAAAACACGGCCAGCAGAGCATATTAAAAGGCGAGCCTCCGAGCCTCCTTCTATGGAAGACTTGGATAAGCGCTATGAGACCCTGAACCGTCGCATGAGTAGTAAAAATCACTTAACCACTCAAAACGAAACTGTGAACGAGGCGCTGGAGCGCATTGAACAGGAAGTAATGGCAGAGCTCGGCGACTCGGAGGAAGACACAAAACCAATCAAAAAGCAACCACCCACAACCGAGGACTTGGAGAGCCGCTACGAGGCATTACACAGCAAGGATGCAAAAGAAAGTGAAAGTAAATCAAAGCCGGCGCCTAAGTCACCTCCACGCCGTGTCGATGTGGCCATCGAGGCACACATACCCGAACCGCCACCACCCCCACCAGCAGAGCACCGGATCATCATCAATCCTGGGCCGCATCAGCAACGCGCTCTCATTGAGGAGCTGCAGAGCAAGATAAAAGCGCAGTCCCCGGGCGAGGAGAACTTGAGGCCGAGCGAAATAAACCCTCAGCGAAAGCGCCAGCCAGAGCATCGTCAGCTGCAACAGCGACCCACCACAATGGGCGATGAGACATCGGAAGCACCTGCAACCACCGCTTACTACAGATCGGGAAATTACGAACCCTGGCAATCGCAGCGAACGGTTCGTCGTTTCTCCGATTTGCCATCAAGAGCCGATTTGGAAAATCGTTTACAATTCCTGGAAAAGAAATTGTACAAGAAATTCTACAAGCAGCGCTGTGCAAGTGATTCCGAAGTTGCATCGAGGATGTTTAGCTATGAGGACAAGCCAAGCACCTCGCAGCAAGCGGAGGCTCAGCTGGAACAGCGTGTTCTCGCTCTGGAGAAGCAGCTGAGCGAAAACAGCCTCAAACTGCTGGAAGCTGTTCGCGAAAAGGAAAAGCAGCAGGAGAAGGTCAACCACAACTCGGAAGATCTCTGTTCTCCACGGCGACTTAGCACTGGCATGGAAATTGGCAAGGAGCTGGTGCGCTACACCCAAAACATCTCTGATGTTGAGGAGTCGGACAAGCCGATTAACATCAGCATCAATATTAAAATGCTGCTCAACAAAGAGAACGAACAGCGAAAGCCGCCAGCCGAGCCCAACACAGATGATTTGAGGCGACGATTGGAACAGCTGGAACTGGAGCTGATCGAAGCGCGAGCCAGGAATGGAACAATACCGATTCCTGATGCCGAGACAAACGCTGAAGATGTTCCACTTCCGCCAACCGAACAAAGCGAGGAAACTGAGACAAGTAGAAAACAGGAAAAAGATAGCCACAACCAGAGCGTTAAGTGTGACGAGGCCGAAAAGCTGGAAGAACCTGCAGTGCCCCCGATGGATACGACAGAGCCCGAGACGGTAAAGGAAACCAAAACCTTGGAAAATGAAGAAAAGGCTCAATCCGGTAATAAAGAATCGGACCTAACGAATGTCACTAAAGAAGAGCAAAAGGTTGAGGCTAAAACTACTAATCAAGAAGATGAAAAGAAAATCAAAATGAAATCCTCACCCACAATCGAAGAGCCGAAAATTCCAGATGAAACTCAAAAAACTGATCCTGAGCCAAATAGTGAAAAATCAGATGCCGTTGAACAGAAGTCAACTTCAGCCGAGGAGCCACTTCAAAATCCCGAAGAAAATCTTGTAATTAATCCAAGTGATATTGGCCCTGTAGATCCCAATAATAAAACTGTGGTACTTCTAATGGATAATGAGCCAAAAGCATTGAAGGTGCGCCGTCTGACCAGAGCCAATACTGAAGAGCTCGAGGGTCTATTTCAGGCCCTTGAAAAGCAACTCAACGATCGAAATCTCGTCAAGTCCAAAGATGGAAAACTGATTCGAGCAGAAAGTAAGCCATCTGCCGAGCAAGTCGAGCAGGCACAAGCCATATCAGACCTGACCAAAGAAATTGAAGACTTCACCAGTGGCAAACCGGAACAAGAAGCAGCGGAGCAGAAACAAGAGAAAGAAAAGGCCGCCGAGGAGGATCCCAACTATGACTGGGGACCCAATCCAGTTAAGCATCACCTGAAACGGAAAACCGTTTATCTGCCATCCACCAAAGAGCTAGAGGCTCGCTTTCGCTCTTTGGAGCGTCAAATTAAACTACTCGAAGATGTTGAAAAAATTGACGTAGAGCAGAGACTCTGTGAAATCGAGCGAAAGATCAAGCTGCAGTACTCGTTGTCGCATGAGAAAGACCTCAACAAATTCTTAGAGCTATGCGAAGGCAAAGGCCTAGATGATGACGAGGATGTTCATGTGGCGGAGGCTACTTCTCCAGTCAACGACCGCTCACGCAGTCCATCACGCAAACAAACTAGCTCCTCCTCGAGATCGCCATACACGTCTCCAGTTTCCAAGTCAGTGAGCAAGTCGCCATACGTGTCGCCTTCACGTAAGGAGAAGATCACCACAAAATCACCTTATACGTCACCATCACGCCAGAATAAGAAGACGCAGCAAACATCACCGACGCGCGCCGCCAGCAAGAAGAGTCCATACACTTCGCCGGCTCGCCGTCAGCCGCACAAAGACGATCTACCCATCCCTGACGACCTCGAATACAAATATCGCGTACTGGACTTGGTGCGCTCCAAGTCCAAGGACAATCTCTCGAAGCGTAAAACTGACCCCAATAAGAAACCACCTATTCATCCGCTCGAGATGCTGCTCGATCCGAGTCCGGATGATAGTGAAATACCGACTACGGGAGAGCTGGAGCATCGCATACGACTGCTGGACGAGAAACTAAAGTCCCCTGTGCGCCACAAGTCGCGTTCCCGTTCACCCACCATCGAGGATATCAAGCGAAAGAAAATGCTAGATGATCAGCTGCCCAAGACTCCGGTGCACAGCCTGGAACGTTTGGTCTACTCGCCCAGCAAGCCGGAACCACCCACTGCCGAAGAACTGGACAAGCGTATTCTTGCGCTGGAAAAGGAGCAACGCTTCGATTTCAAGACCCAAAAAGACTACAAAGAATTCAATCAAAAACTTAAAGACGTGGTCTCGCCCTCGCTATCCTACGAGGAGTTCAAGCTGGCAAAGTCGCGCGAGCAGAGTCCCCGGCGACAAGCCCCCACAACGCCAAAGTCAGCAATGCGACGCGATGAGCTACATGACGATTACCGTGACTATCGCCGTGAGGAGACAACCTCGTATCGGCCCACCAGCCCCAAGGTCATACGATTCCGGGATGAGGACGACGACTACTACGAGGACTCGTGGCGTCCCAAGTCACGGCAGAGTCAGGGACAGGGCCCAGCCAGCGAGCGAATGGTGGGCATAACTGATGTTTTAAGCTTTATGGAGGAGAATTCTAAAATTCTTCAACGTATTCTTAAGAAGACTCTTGCAGATCAGCCGTCAGCAGCAGCAAGTCGCAGTTATATCAACAGCACAGCGGCCGCATCAGCAGCCTCTGAAGGTGTCGACGCCCTAGGCAGTCGCCTGATGAGGGTAAGTGATCTATGAATTGGCAAAACTCAAAAGTCTTATCTCTTTTTCGGTTCTAAGGAAACATCGCCCATCACTCGAACTGGAACCCATACGGGCGTACCGCTGCGCACTGGAGAGAACATTAATGATCGCCTGAGCTCCATCAAGAACAGCATCAAGTCCATCGACAGCTTGTGCGAGGAGAAATCCTATCAGAAGGAGAAGTGCCAGCGCTATATTGACTCTCTATTCTCTGACTCCTTGCACTTCTCCAATAAGAAGAGCTCGGCCGAGGACTTGACGCACAGTCGGAGCGAGAGTCGAGGACGTGGCACGCAGCGCTGCTCCGACTATACGCCAACAATCCGGATCAGCTCCGAGCACCGTTCGCTCGGCTCCGTGGAGTCGTTGCGCACGGGCAGCCCGCTGCGTGCTTCCAGTCCGCCGCATCACCGTTCGCACAGGGATGTTAGCCGGGAGCTGTCGCCGCGTCGCCGTCGCGAGACGGAAGAGCTAGAGGAGCGCGAGAGTAGTAGGGTAAGACGTGATAATATGTTGCCAAATTATTTAGCTGATAATCGTAGCGAACTAGGTAGCTCCAGTAGTTTAACTAAGTTTCACAAAGTAGATAGACAACTAGAAGAAACCTGCGCCAAGTACGCGGACGACAGACGCTCAGCCTGCAAGTCCCCGTTGAGCTCGCCGTACGAGTCCCGAACAACAGGCACACGATACAACACAACAGCCACAGTCGACAGTTTCCCTAGGCCCGTGTCGCCCTACCGCCAGCCCTATGACCCAAGCAGGCCCTCACGCTCCAACACGCCCGTCTATCAGCCAGCCAAGCTGGAGATCCGCCACACGACCGTCACGTCGACCTTCTACGATCGCTTTCTCACCGAGAAGCAGATTGAGAAGCAGACGCTCCCTCGTCCACCCAGCCGCTCGCCCGTCCTCTCGCCCTCGGCAGCGACCAAGAGCTACAGCGATCTGCCCAGCACCCTGGCGGCCCACAAGTACGGTCACGAGCTCTTGCCCGACGTGGCCCCCACAAGCGCGAGCAGCTACTCACCCATGTCCCGCAGCTACGCGGGCAGCAGCAGCAACTACTCATACCTCACCCCACTCACCACTGCGGCCTCCACTTCAGCTGGCAGTGCATCTGATCTGCGCCTGCGCAACAGCTCTGAGAATATTCCCAGTCCCCAACCCAATCCCACTCTCACTCCCACAGCCACAAGCACCAGCACAGCCATGCCATATGCAAGCGTGCTCGGCTCGAGCTCGGCAGCCTCCACAGCATCTGCTTTCGTGCCATACAACTTCAGTAGCTCATTTGGCAGTCGCCTGGGTGACCCGGTGAGCGCCTCTGGCACCTCCACTCTCAGCACGTACTCCACCGGCGTCTACAATCCCATGATGTCATTCACATTGCGCGAACCTCAGATAAGCAGCTTGCCCAGCTCGTCATCGGGTCAGTATCAATTCAAGAGCGCGTTCGGCTCGACTCTGGCAAAGAGCGAGTCCGACAAGCCATAGGCTCGATGAGCTAGTGGGCATACGAATAGGTTGTCATCTCTGAACCATGCCACATTCTCAGCACATGCTCAAACTATATTTACTTTAAGCTAACAAATTACTCTTTGCAATTATATAAACAAGCAAAAAAGGAAAACTCTCAAAGCTCTCACACATATGAAATATAGTTATAAAAGAGAGGAAACCATTTTACGCGTTTAACTACAAATATTATCTATATTATACTATATATACAAAACAGAATTTTACGACAAACTCTTTGCACCAAAACAAAAAAACATATTCTGGCTTCTTGCTAATAGCTAATTACCTCAACTGCATTCATGGCACCAATCAACGTAACTGATCATAGAAATAGCAAACGAAAACCATTTTATATACATATATATATATACATATATATA